CAATTTATTTTAGCTACATTTAATTTAACAAATATGTTGAAAGTTAGCCAAATAAATGTGTTTATTTAAATGTAGACAAAATAAATTGATTGCAACCACTTACCTTAAAAAAAATTTGAGTAAATTCAATGAATCATTTTTAATATGCACCCTTTAGGGGTTAAAAAAAAGGTACAAAGGTGGAACTTTTGAAAAGGTACCGCCGCAGCGACAGAGCTTTTGTACCTTTTTTCGTTTCTGAGAGCGCGTTATTAACCAGCAATCAAATGAAGCCCATGCAGTGCGGTGTTCAGTAGTTTAGATCGAGACAGGACAGAAGTGAGTCTGGATCTCACCCAGCGGGTCGTGGCGGATCAGCGCGTGCGTGAAGTCTCGCTGGAACGGGTAGATGGACGCGTAGGTGGCCGCGAGCGCCTGCTGGGTCAGAACCGGGTGGATCGGCGTGGGCTCGTAGATCGGGGTCCGGTAAGACGGGATCAGGCTGGTGAACGACGAGTTCGGAGACGGCAGGGTCAGCGTGGGCGCCACCGGACCGGACGCGGACGCGTTTCTGCCCAGAATGTCCTCGATGTAGAAGGGCGTCGGGTGAGCGGGCGGCGCGGGCGTCGGCGCGTAAAGAGGCGCGTGCGAGTGCTGGAACTGCATGGCTGGAGGACTTCTGATGTCAGCTCGTGGACTTCTGCTTCCATGCAGTCTGCGATGAGCGAAAGCGGGAGGTCACTAGTGAGGGCGGGGATGGTGTATTCTGAGGGAGGAGAATAGCGGGTCAAACTTCCTGCAGGTACGCGAGCTCTGATTGGCTCTCCGAGAAGAATGCGATGAAGGAGAAGACAGAAGAAACCTGAGGAGGAGGAAAGTCAGGATGCACCTGGATTAAACACGCATGCATGAAGTCTCACTTTCATTTAAGTCACATAAACTAAAAACTAAAAAACAAAACACTTGTGTCTTTTAGACTTGCACTCTATTCATGTGCTGCTTGTTTTCTTAAAAAAAATTTTTTTATTATACATGTATTATACAATTAACAAAAGCAAAAAGACCTCTAACACTAGCTTGCGCTATTTTTTTTTCTATTCTATCTGTTTTCTTTTTATCTGAGACTTGTTATAGCACTTGTGTATCATTGCTAGTTTTGATTGCTTCTATTAATTCGCTTTGGATAAAAGCTCTGCTAAATGACTAAATGTAAATATAAACTAAACCAAAGCGTAAAAACCGAAGCTTAATTGCTTACATTTTTAAGTAGAATCCAATTCAGTAAACTATATTTAATTACTGACGAAGAAGAGTTTATAGAAATTAATAGAATTAATTATAGAATTTAATAAAAACAAAGATGTCACGACTTAAATTATTTTATTCTGATTGTGTTCTGGTTAGTCGTCTATGTAGTAAAGATTTTGTGATTATATATTTACGCTGTTTTGTGCAATGCTTAATAAAAATGAAATTACTAAATATTAATGAGTGGTAACGTCTTTGATTTTAAAGATAATGTCTTTACTAAAAAAATAACTCGAATATAATCTTGTGTTTAATTCATATCTATTTGGCAATAATAAATATTCAGTAGCTTTTGAGTAGCCAAAGCTGTAAAGTAATTATTATTTATTAAAATAATAAAATAAACACATTCAATGGCAACCAAAGAATTTTGATACAGAAATTACTGAGGAAAATTTGGGGAAAATACATATTTTTTATTT